CCTTCCGTACGGCACACGCGGCCGACCCTAACGCCAAGCTATACATCAATGACTACAACGTCGAAGCCGTTAACACAAAGTCGGACGCCTTATACGCGTTGGTCAAGGAGTTGAAGGGTAAGGGAGTACCCGTTCATGGGGTCGGTTTGCAGGGTCACTTCAGGGAGAATGAAATTCCCTCAACTTATCAAGATAATATTAAACGCTTCTCCGATTTGGGCCTCGATGTAGCCATTACTGAGCTGCAGGTCAGGTATCAGCTACCTGGGTCAGCCGATAAAATTGCTAAACAGGCACAGGATTATAGTCATGCCTTTAGCGCGTGTATGAACGTGGAAAGGTGTGTCGGGGTAACCGTTTGGGGCTTTACCGATAAATATTCTTGGTTGATTGATAAGGGTTATGGGGAACAGCAGTTATGGACTCAGGATTATAAACCCAAACCCGCCGTAGACGCTGTCGATAAAGTTTTGAAATAAATGAACCTGTTTCATTTGCAAATAATTAATTATTTTATATTAAATATGAACTAGATTGATTTGTTTTCAAATAATTCAAAATTAATATAAAAGTTATTTCATTAAAAAAAGTTGAGTAATTTTGTTTGTTATTGAAAGTAATGTCACTTTTGTGAATTTAATCAATAAAAAGCACTCATATCAAATGTAAAAAACTTTTCAATATATTTATATTTATATCTGTTTCAATATTTATTAAATATATTATTTATTTATCAATATTATACTTAACATTTGTGTACAATTGCACTGACGTTTAAAATACTGGTACAGTAATTGTCTTATAATTAGTTACGATTGTTGAACATTAATCCAGTAGATAATTTGAAACACTTCATTATTAATTGATTAATAATTTATTACAAAATATGGTCAATGTTATCAAATATATTTTAGATAAATTTATATTTCATCTATATTTTGATATATAAATGTGTTGTTGAGATATTTAACAAGCACACTGTAATAAGTATCTGAGAAATTATTGAAACATACTGTCATAAAATGCTCAATTAATACTTGTGTTAATTCAATAACTAATTGTTTTACAAATTTAACTTTATTTTTATAAACTGTATATTATATTAATATAAAGCACACGAAAATGCTGTCCACGTCAATCATTTTAGTGACGGTATTGATTGTGTAAGGATTTCACAAATATTTTTACATAACTTATATTTTTTGATATTAAATCTTATTTTTCACGAATATGTTGGGCACCAGCAGCTCGGGCGAGGGTCACCTCCGAGATCATGCCAAACAGAAGTACATCGGAACGTCGTTTAGGACCGATGCCTTCAGCGACCAGAAATACCTGGAAATACTGGGCCAGGAGTTCAATTGCGTGTCAAACGCGGATATAATATGGGGGAATCTGGAGGCAGTACGGGGGCAGTACAACTGGGGACCCCCCGACAAAGTGGTCGCATATGCAGAGCAACACAATATGAAGATCAGGGGATCTGTCCTCATATGGCACGAACAGTTGCCCACATGGATTGCGGGACTGGAGGGCAAAAAGGCTGAGCTCGAGCAAGTGATGAAGGACCATATTAATACAGTGGTTGGACGTTTTAAAGGTATAGATAAAAATTGTTTTATTAATTTATTTCAGTTTAATTTTTAACTTTCAACTAAATTCAACTTGTTACTGATAAACTAGTATTAGTCCTACTTTTCAAAATTATATGATGATTTAAAATTATTTACAATTAATTATTATTTATTTCTATTTTATGGTATTAACGAAAAGTTTTATAAACTAAAAGTAATTAATAATAAAAAATATGTTTCAATTCATAGGTAAGGTCTACGCGTGGGATGTCGTCAATGAGGTGATCGATGAAGTGTCCGGCGAACTAAGGGACAGCATATGGTCGCGAACTTTTAACTACAGTTTCATTGAGGAGGCCTTCCGTACGGCACACGCGGCCGACCCTAACGCCAAGCTATACATCAATGAATACAATCTCGAAGCCGTTGATACAAAGTCAGACGCCTTATACGCGTTGGTCAAGGAGTTGAAGGGTAAGGGAGTGCCCGTT